TGGTCTTGGTGTTGATGGGTGATTGGCGTTTTGGATAATGACTCCTCTGTAGAAACAGTACCAGGGTATACGTGGAATGACTGGAATTCTCTGGAATAGCAATCACTGGCATGTATTCGCGAGTTGGCTTGGAGGGATCTTTGTGGGGATGTAACTTTTTGAATATAGCTCTGATTGACTTACTTCCAAGCACAATAGTGCTTGTCTTGATGAGCTTGATACAGAGATGATGTTAGTTTATGCTTTTGTTGGTTTGGTTAGTAATCTGTGTTTTGTAGTGACAGATCCAGTGGCGGGGCTCCACTTGGTTTCGGTCCCGCTTGGAAAAGTAAGGCTAAGAGCCGTGTATTGCAGTTTCTAACCGTTTCTTCTTCTAATTGGGGTGTACCTTTCCCGTTCCGAGTTCTTTGGTTCTTTCACTGACTGGACTCACTGACTGGACTCAATGACTCAACCTCCGCGAATTTGAATCCTTGACACTCGTGTTTGCTCACAGGCTATTATTTCAGTTTCCGGTAACTCAAAACTTCGAATTCGGCCACGATGGCAGAATAGACCGGCATTTCTTCACCATGACGGCTGTTAACCCTTATGGGCGCAACACAGGAGGACTCCGATCCAACCCGTCTCTCAACCCTGCAATTGCTCTGTTTGATAAGGTGATGGACCCAATGAAATTCTCCTCTTTGGGTGTGGCTGACCTTGTCGCGGAAAATGGTCTCAGTACTATGGCTGACTTTTGCACTCGGATCGGCAATAACCCTCCTCTCCGTACGAATTCAAACAAGGCAATGGTGGAGAGCTCTCTTAAGAAGTATATAGAGGCACTGTGCAAGGAGCCGCGGACTAAGTTTGGGAGGTGGCCAGAGTTTACCAATGTGTCGCTATTCCCTCCTGATGATATTAGTGCTTTGAAAACTACCTTTGAAAACCACCATGGTCGGACCCTCTGGTTGCTGCTGTCATGATCAAGAATTACCAGTACATGCAGGACACATATAGAGCCGACCACCGATATGTGCATCGGATGCGGACAGTGGTGCATCGACTGGAGTTGGCGGTTGACCTTGTGGAAGCTTCCACCAAGCTGCACCACTGGTCAAAGAAGATTGAAGATGATATTGCAGCTGCTGAGAGTGACAACGGAGAAGTGGTCAGGGCCAGCATTTCTGACAAACTGCATGAGCTTGGGAACAATGTGACCGATCTGCTTAGAACTCGACAACAAGAGCAGCTCAACCAAACACTTATTTTGCAAGGGATTGGCGAGTTGAAGCAAGGGCAGAGCGATATCAAGAGCAGCGTGGATTCTCTTACAGAGGCAATCCGACAATTAACTACTCAGCTGGAAAGGGAACCAACTGTTAGGGCACCGGCCGCAACTCCGGCCGCAGCTCCCAGTCCTCCTCGACAGCCGCAGCAGCAAAGTCCTACGCGACAACAAAGTCCTATATGACAACAAAGACAACAAAGTCCTCCACGGCAACAAAGTCCTCCGCGGCAGCCGCAGCAGCCGGAACGAGTTCAACCGGCCATTCGATCTGGTGCTAATACTGGCCGTGGAGTTTGCGATGGTGACAGGAAGATACACAACATTCTGTCAACTTTGTATCAAGAGAATGGCTACAGGAGCTTGACAATCAACGTTTCCCTCAACTCTCTGGCCAATCTAGTCAACACTAGGTTCATGAACGGCGACAACCGAAACAGAAAGAAGATTGAAGCTGCATTAGATTTAGTTGATTGCCTTTGGTCTGCCGAAGATCGAGCCAAGAGTATCAACCGTGGCTTTGCCGACGACACTACCGCTACCCAAGTGTACATGGATATCGATGACCGAGTGAAGAGAGCCTACCATGTCTTCGACAACCCTGGTAACAAGTGGATTCCCAATACCCGAAGATCAACAGCGGTGACTGGTGTGGGAAATCTTGTGCTTAGAAGGCGCGATGGATTTCATCAAGAGATAAATAGGCGCATGCCAAAGTGGACTACAGCAACACCAATAACAGCTGGAGCCACTCTTTGGGACATTGTTGTGCAGCATGAGGCGCATATCAAGGCTCGAGTCCTCGCCGAAAGGAGCAACAAGAGCAGAAGAAGATAGTGCAAATGATCAGTCAGCGCTTTGTTTTCCGTTGGCTGTTGTTGCTGTTGTTGAAATTATTGATGTTTTTGTCATTGTGCGGCAGAGAAAAATAAAATGATATAGCCTCCGGCATAGCCCGAAGGCGGCATCAAACACAGCTGTCGTTTTGGTTGGTGTGTCAGTAGAGGAAGAAGCGTCGGTAGAGGAAGAAGCGTCGGTGGGAATATGGGTGACACCAAACCCAAAGACTCAGCCCTCACGGCTTTTGGAGTACTTCACCATAATGCTAGCTGTTGTTGCCAAGAGCCTTGCCCCTACCGAAGTAGGCACTGACTTCAAGGCAAAATAGCGCAGCAATCAAGGGAGTAGTCAAAAACAGGAGCAGCTGGCGACAACAGATCGGTAGCGGTAGTGGTAGACGGTGGATTGGTAGACAACGCTCTTGACATGGCAACAACGTGGTGTTCAGAGTGAGTTTGTTGGCATGTGACGTCTTTTTTGAATGGTGGTGAGTGCTTTATGAGTTGGGACACTGAATTGGATCGCGACATTCCAGTGTGTTCTCACCGGTTAGTGAAGGCTTATCAGCGATGATTCAAACCAATTGTTTCATTCTACAGGCTCTCTGGTATCACCGACCGTATGTACACCACCAGTACTCCTCTACCCTACACCAACTATCTCTTCCCCTACTTCGCTCTCTCAGCGAAGAAACACCCCGTTGTCAATGTATTTACAACCCTCTATCCAGACAGCTTTCATGGTTTATATGAGTGGTCTTGAAGCAAGACTACGTGTCAGGTATTGACGTCATCACTGGTAAGCATGTTAAAGCGCGGAACATAGAAGTCACCAAATTCCAGGACTGCTGCTAGAGTTTAAGAACTGCTAGGTAGGTGTTGACGACAGTCCATGTTCCTGGGAATTATCAAATGCAGCAAAAAGTGAGAGTGCTATATTTGACAGAGCCAACCCACAAGCCTACTACAATACACGGCTCTTAGCCTTATTCGCGACTCGATCCTAGATAGGGTTTGAGTTCGACTCATGACGTAGTCCTTCGCGAATAGCCATTGAGACAGGGTTCTCATGACTGCTAGTCATACTAGGTTGTCGATGAAACATCGCTCTAGATATTTAGCCGGCGCGGAAAGCTTCCACGCTAGTAGACAGCTACTAGCTGAAGTTTCCACGTGTTCCGGAAATGGACCGTGGAGTACGTAGAGTTATTACCATAACCTACGATATCACACTTCGAAGCCTCCCGCGGGAGACCAACTTCAATGAGCTTCACAACGATCTCTCTCATGGATTAGTTTTTGTAGCTTTCTAATCTCTCTCATAACTTTCATTCTCTCAAACTCAAAACACTCGAAAGATCTTTACACTAGCTTTTAGCGTAGTGCATTTTGTTAACAAACACAATAGCTTTCAGCTACCTTCAACCTATTCCTTCACCATGAAGATGGCTCAAGGAAAGCATGCGTTCAGCAACTACGAGAAACAGTTGCGTGACAAACCCATTCTTCCTCTCGTCGACAATGACGAAGACAACGAGGTCGACGACACTCGTGCAACCACCTACAAACTTCGCACCATTCCTGCAGACGCAAATAGTGCCAAGTACACTTTCAACGTAGCCATCATCAATGGCTCCAACACTCACTCCCGTGAAGACCATCAAGTAGGCCACGTATGGAGAAGGTCTTCGTTGGACTCAACCTTGCTGTGCCGACGACAAACATCGTCTTCTCAAGGAGATGACTTCCAGCTCTGCAAAGAGTGTGCAATACAACGGCTTCTTTGCCTTATTCGCGACTCGATCCAGATAGGTTTGAGTTACTCATGACTGAGTCAT